GGGGAAAGAAAAGATGGATAAGCACTCAGATTTTTAGGGGTAGACATGCAGAGAAGGAAGAAAAAGAAAAAAAAAGGAAAAAGTAAAGATGTTAAGTTAGAGTTAGTCAAGTTAGAGCTTTTTAATCCATTTTAAATTAGGAGTAAATTGATTTTTTATTTTTAGGATGTGTCAAGTTTAAATTCCTTAGATTAAATTTTTAATAAGGTGGCATGTGGAGAATGAAAGTCAAGCAGATTATGATAGAGAAAATCATAGCAGAGGTTTAAGAATTGACACATCACATTTAAAAAAAGCAACCGACGTGAAACTTCCCTTCTCTCTTTCTTTCCTCTTTTTAATATCTTTGCAATTATCACTCTTTCCTTTCCAATTGAAAATTACAATTTTTTTTTAATCATTACAAAATATATAATTGGTGGTGTCACCACCAATTTGATCAATATTGGGCAGTAATATGTTTATATGTTTTGCCCATAATTGATATGGGTAATTGGTTGCGGAACAGCACTTTGGGGGATTGGATTGGCACGGATTGGCATGAATTGGTTTTGAAAAGGAATTGGCAAGCATTGGTTCTGATATACGATTTGCAAATCCTTTTGAAGTGGTACCGTAGTTTGACGGCTGGACTTTGGGGAATTGGCAAGAACTGATTTTGATGTGGGAAAAGAGATTGTTAGGTGAGGAAAGAAATGTATCTCTCTAGACGTTTTGGAAGACGCATAAACATTGAAAGAAAAAGAAACAATGAAAATGATGCATAAACATTGAAAGACTTTTAGGTATCATTTTTTTTTAAAGACCATTCTTATTGAGAGAGGCGGTAGAATACTAAACTCACACACACTGCGCATATGCTATGACTTGAAAACCACTACACTAGTGAATCATTTGCTCCAAACCTAGGACCTTTAGGCAAATTTTTGTTGTTGTTGTAAGTATGAGATAATTACTTTTTTTATTTATAAATGTGACGTGTCAACTCTTAATTGTTGTTAATGAGTCTAGCCTAGTGGTGAGGGCTTGAATTGTAGACCAGTGGTCTCAAGTTTGAACCTTTATGACACCTTAGTACTGTGTGTGAATGAGAAAACCTCCTTACTCTTCCTAACTTTGGCATGTAATGAATAAAAGTCAAGTTGATCGACATAAAAGATCCAAAAAGACTTCACACCTAAGCAAATATCATAGAAAGGAAGTGTGTATACCGACCAGTTCCGTGAGCAGGAAAAACAAAATTTGTGTATTGAAATGGTAAATGGTGCGTGGAATCCACAACTCAGCCTTGACTTTAGCATTTGATGCTTTGATTTATATAAATAAGTTTCATCTTTAGTCAGTCAAGCTTCAAGATTGGTGACATAATTTGACCACGACTTGTGTGCAGCTTAGAAAAGCCTTTGAGCACCCGTTCTTTATTTCCAAAAAGTAGTGTTTTTTTAAATAATTGTTTTTATACTACCATAGGGCAGGTTTGGTTATTGGAGTGTAAAATTTCATTCTCGTATTTTATAAGTGTATTTTTTAGAATGCAATATTTCTTATAACTGATTTAAAATGGACAACATCACCAATAGGAGAGAGAATGAATGAGAATAGGATTGACTACTCCTCCTAATAATAAATCTAATGCATGATTTTTAAAATATTGAATTACAAATTGTAATGTAGAACATGCATACTTTTAGATTTTTATGTGTTACTAAATGTAGAGGAAACCAAGAATACGAATATTTTAAATACCCATATTTTAATAAACGCATGAAAAGTTCAAAATCATAATAATTCTAATTTTCATGTTTCAATAAAAGCATGGGAGGGGGAAATGAAACCCATAGCACCTTTCTGTTATGGATTTCCCATGCATACTTTTGGGTTTGTTTATAGAAATTAAATGGTGTAAGGTTTATTTATATTATTAGTGTTAAGAATGAGTATATGACTAAATATCTTTTTTTTTTGAGGTTTTGGGGTTGGGCTTGTTTTAAGAAATCGATGGCAGTTTTGTAATTTATAAGAAGTTAAAAACTTCTTTGTTATGTTGTAAATGAGCTTTGGTGTGTTTCTAAAGTCCATTTAATATAGAGTTTTTTTATTTATTTGTTTATAATCTGACCCCTATATTAGGTATAATAGTGAATCTCTTCTTTTTTTATTTATTTAGAAATTACTATTTCTATCTTTAAAGTCCTTGGCACTTGTTTATTTAACAAGGGTATTATTGAGAAACTAATACAACTTTGTTCCTATTACTATACAAACAAAACATGAAAACGTATATGGAAGGCCTTTCTTGGTAGATGAAAATGTATATGGAAGGCCTTTCTTGGTTATCATTTCCAGCACAAACACTTAAATAAAAAATCATTCATTTCTATCTCCCACGAACAGGTGTGAGAGTTTCATTTCCTAAAATCTCATTATGTGAACCAAATAAGTCTGTAAATAGAGGATATTAGGGAAAATGGGAATCGAACTAGGATCTCAAGTGGGTAAATACTCTTAACCACTTGAGTTACAAGTCCTTTGCAATATTTTCATCTATTCCGGCTATACTTACAAATAAAAGTTCTAGGTTTTATTAGGAAATTCAGTTATACACTACTTATTTTGGTTTCTTTTCATGTGCTAGTATTAAGTGACATGACAATCCAGTTAAAAGATAACATGTACTCAAATTTTATCTTCTGTTTTTATTTCTGAAACACTTGCTATCTTTTAACTGGACTGTTTAGTCACATAATAATACCACCTAACAACAAAAAGATGTTTTTCTAATTAAGGAGGCATGTAATTTATTCACCTAGAATGATTAAAGTGGCAAGATTTACTGTCTTAAATTGCTATTAATGATAATTATTCAATGTTGTGATCACTTTGTATTAATTTTATTCCAATAAATACAGATCACATCATTTTATTACACCTCTTAAAGTACAGTTAGTGCATGAATGTAGCCTATAAACAAAGACAGAAATTTTACATGTGGTTTATAAGTGAGATGTTACCTATCATAGATCTACCTGCTTTTTATTTTATTTTATTTTATTATAATAATGAAAAATCATAGATCTACCATAATAAGAGTGCTTTAAAAAAATGAATAAATGCAAATTGAATGACCACAAGGATCAGAAAGCAAAACAAAAACAGTATAAGACACTCAAATGAATAATACAATAGTACACATTAAAATCTACAAATATTTGCAATTTATAGGGTTATGACTGCAAAATCTTAAAGGAATAAATAAATACATTCTAGGTATGCTATGCAGTATCCTTTGTAATAAAAACTTGAGGAAAGAATCAAATATTGTTTTTACAGCTAGTGAAGTACTGTTAGATGGGCCCCACTTTGAGAAATAGCTTTCTTGTAAATTCAATTGTTTCTTTTTCTTTCATTCTGCTTCTTTCTTTGACAGCCTCCCCCTTTTCCCTCTCCATATCTTACGCCTCTTGTGTCTGAGACTTTCGGTGGACTCTCCCAGCACCACCAACTTCTTCACTTACTTGTAAAATTCTTTGCTTTCTTCATAAACTTTTAGATTTTAGTTTTCAAATACACGCAAAATATTATACTGCAAATTTTCCAGTATGCTTGGGATTTATTTGGAGGTCACAGACAGCCATCTTTGTTCCTTTGGATTGCTTTAACAGTAAGTTATCAGTTTCTTTCCCTACCATTTGTTTTTCTTTGTTTCTTCTCTGTGTTTGTTTGAGTACTGAAAATGGTAGGTTTTTTTTAAAATTTTGTTTCTTTACTTTCCATGTGTGATCTTGGTCCAGTTGGCAAATATCTTCAAGAATTTATTGTGGAAACTTGGGATTTTGATTGATGAATTTATCCGAATTAGTGGATTACTTTCTTCACTTTAAATACTTTGTGGGGTTGTGTGTTTTTCTCTCATATGGGGCTTCTTGAATTTTGATCAACTTTCCTGTGATTCGTTGATAATCACTTTGAGGTGTTTCTCTTGGTAAAGGCTAGAATTCAAGAAATGGGTATTCATCTTCACCTGTTACTGTTTCTTGGTTTTCTTCTATATGTAAAATTGTATAGAACAAAACCCAGTTTTCAGTTTCGGTTCAAGGTAAAAAAAAATAATGAAAAATTGTACATTTTTCGTTTTGCATATATTTTATTTTTGGGATATATGTGTTTTAAATTTTGCTTGAATGTTTTGTCTTAGACTTCGGTTTTGGTAGCATGTGGGTTATTTGATAACCGAGTTTTATTCTTGATTCTACATCATGAAACTTTGTTTGAGATACGGTCACCTTTACTAGTTTTTCTTTCTGAGTGTGCATGCGCTTGCGTATTTGGGACTTGGTTTGCTAGCTATCTAAACTTGTATGGTCCTTTGGTTGTTATTTTAAACGCATGGACTTTCATATTATTTTGGACAAATTATTATGTTCTCAACCTTGTTTTGTTGTCGTAGGAGTCTGATGATCAGTCGAGTCTCTTATAGATCCATATATTTTAATATTTAATTCAGTTTGAGTGAGATTGGTTTGGATTTTTAGAAAGGTAGTTAATAATAACTGTATTGAGTAATTCTTTTGATAAATATTAGATAACCAAAAAGGGAACCCTGGCCTCTTAATTTTTAATGTTCAAAAGTGTTTAGACTTGTGAGGCTGGTTGAGGCAGTATGGGATTAATTTAAAAATAGGTTTACAAACAAGCGAAGATGATGGTCGGTTTTCCTGTTTTTCCTTGTACATTGATTTTATTTTGCTTCTTAATTTTGTTTGAACCAAATCGGTGACTAAATTACAAATCTTTTGTGGGTTTTGTCTTTTGGAACCGGATGTGTAGTATGTGTCACTACTGTGTTGCTGAATTGACACAATCCAAGGGCAGAAAAAGAAAAGCAGGAGGATTTGAAATCATTACAATTAGACACTGGAGGCCCTGTTAAGTCTTGCAAATTTTGTGTGGAGAAACAGGAGCGAGAATCTATCAAGCAGGGTAGTGGGATTTTATATACAATGACAATGATCAGTCCAACGACTTCCTTGTCAAGTAGTGACAGTTGTGTCTCTAGCTGCAGTAAGTGTCCCATATATATTTTTTTTTATATGATACATGTTTGCCATCTTGAATCAACAAAATTTTAGTCTGTGCTTATGTATTGATAATATGTCTTTTCTTCTGCTCTTTTAGGTGAGTTTTCTGTTGATGTTAGCTCATATAGGTATGTACCCTTCTCTTTAAATCTGTTTCTGTTACAGTAATTTTTTCTAGGTACCTTGCTTGATGTATTGCATTTTACTTTAATTTCTGTTAGGGCTAATCAAGAAGAAAATACCAGTGTTTGCCAAGAGAATCTCAGTTGTCGACCTAATGGGCGATTGCAAAACTCAAGCTTTGAACATCAAGTAAATGGACTTGATAGATCACAAAAGGTGATGGAAAACAACCTGAAGGAAAGTAGTAGTTGTAGTGATGGGTATACAGTAAGAGATGTTGAGATTATAGAGACGAGTAATGACCAAGAAGCAAAAGATAATGTTGCTACAAACTCTAGTTCATTTAGTGATGGAATTGAGAATTCAGATTCTTTAGAAGATGAGACGGATGCCCAGATATGGGAACTCCCTGAGCCTAATGATCCAGAGGATGGCATGGAGGGTAGCGTGGCTTTCAATGACGATGACGATGAGGAGTGTGGTGATGGCATGAAATGGGGCAGACCAAGTTCTTTGAGTAATTCTAGAGATGAAGGAAGTGGAAGCGATAGGTTTAAAGAGGAAAAACAAAGAGCAACAGAAGCAGTAATTAATGGAAAGTTTAAGGCCCTTGTCTGTCAGCTACTTAAATCTGTTGGTCTGGCCTCTTCTGGGGAGGATGGTGAAAGTTGGGTCGATGTTATTGCTTCTTTGTCATGGGAAGCTGCTTCATTTTTGAAACCTGATGCTGTTGTTGGTAAAGCAATGGATCCAGATGGCTACGTGAAAGTAAAGTGCATTGCAACTGGTGTTCGCAGCCAAAGGTGACAATATTAAGCCAATGATTTCCCTTGTTTATTTTTATTTTTAAAAATTTTCTCTTCATCTTGTACTTATTTATATATATATTTTAAATATAGGTATTTGATGTTTGATGATTCCAAAAATAAATAAAAAATACTCTGACACACTTTTCTTGATATCTTATTTGTGTTGAAAGCATGTTTGGATTTGTTTCTTCAGAGAATAGTAGTTGCAAATTTTTGCAAATGGAACACAAGCTTTTTCTCCTCAAGGTTGCATGAGGATTCAGCTATTTGAATTGTCATCAACAACTTATAATCTATTATTTCACCTTCCCATTATAGATATTTTCCTAAAAAATAATTTAGATTTTGTTCTTTTTACTCATTAGATGCACATAGCTTGCCTGGTTTCGTGGAAATGCCACATAAAAAGTTATATTTTCTTTATTATACCAATTTATAAGACTTGCCAGATTCAATTCAACAGAGCTAATCACCTCAATAATGATTCTAGTTAGCAGATTCTGAGAAAATCATTTACTTTTCTCATCTTGGAAGTTGGAAACCTGAATCAATGTATGCCATTGCAGTCAACTAGTAAAAGGTTTGGTCTTCAAAAAGCATGCTGCACACAAGCATATGCCGACCAAGTACAAGAATCCAAGGTTGTTGCTAATCAAGGGAGTACTTGGTCAGTCTTCAAGTGGATTGTCATCGTTTGATTCAATGGAACAGGTAACATGATCATAATGTATGCCCTTATATCAAGAGATTAAAGTTACGTGTTCTCACAATTTTCTTGTAAACAGGAACAAGGCTATCTGAAGTTTGTCATCGAAATGTTAGATTTGTGCCATCCAAATGTCGTTTTAGTGGAAAAAACTGTTTCTCGTGATATTCAGGAGTCTATTCTTGCAAAAGGAATGACACTGGTGTTTGACATGAAGCTCCATCGCCTAGAAAGAGTTGCTCGTTGTACTGGATCACCAATTTTATCATCAGATACAATGACAAGCAAAAAGCTAAAACAGTGCGACTCTTTTCACATTGAAAAATTTACAGAGGAACATGCTGGTTTTGGTGGAGGAAAGGTGCCGAGCAAAACATTGATGTTTATTGAGGGCTGTCCTACACGCCTGGGCTGTACGGTTAGTTAATTATCCTCCCCATCTTAGACTGTTAATCTTTGGTTGGGTTGTCTTGTAGTAATCTATTGTTCGAAGGAGGAACAGCTTCTTTTTAAAATAATAATGATCTCATCTCATATTCTGTTTACATGTAGTTTATGTGCCTTCTTTAATATAGATTTTTCAGAGCCCTGTTACTTATTCTATTCCTATGGTTCTTCTGCAATCAATTTTGTTGGGTTGGAACTTCGAATGTGCAAAGACCAATTCATTTTTCATCTGGGCTTCATGGACTCGCTTTATTATCTGACACTATAGATTGTGTGTGTGTATCTTTAATTTGGTAAATGCTTCAATTTTTTTGAGAAGGATTTGGCCAATGCTTTAATAAATGAAAACTTTTATAGGTTGCTTAGCATCTTGTGTGAAATAATGAATTATACTTGAATGACTACAGATTTTGCTGAAAGGAGCACAGAGTGATGAATTGAAGAAGATCAAGTGCGTAGTGCAGTGTGCCGTTATTCTGGCATATCATTTAAAACTTGAGACTGCTTTTCTTGTTGACCAGAGAGCAATGTTCTCTACGCTTCCATTTTCCAGTGCAGCAAATGTCTTGTCCACTGAAGTAGCAAATGGGCTGCCCACTGATAAAATTTCCCTTAAATTTGGACCTGTCACTTCATGTGTTTCTCAGCACAGGGACACTAGTGCTGAAACTGGGTCAGATGCAGTTGATATTCTCATTTCCAATGGATTCCATGAAGGATGTTACCACAATTTTAACTTAGAATGTGAAGGCAATTCCACATGTGAAGTTCATGAACCATACAATCCTGCCATATTTTCTGGCTTCTCGTCCCTTTCAGCATCACTAAGCAAAGTTATAGGGGGGAGTTTCCCTCTGGCATCTTCTTATCAGTCCCTCTCTTCATACTTTGGATTCAATGCAAGAGAACCGAATGGCGAGATCACAAGATCTGTTTCTGTTTCAACATCTCCAGAGGCAATTGATCTTTGTGATGTTGAAGATAAAGGTAGTTCAGATGAAGAGAGGTCACTCAATGGACAAACCCACACTTCGTTTACATGCACAGAAGCTTCTCCGGAGATGGAAGAAGATGGTGGAAATAGTGAAGATCAAATGCAAAGTAAGAAGGACATCAGCACAGTGTTGGATTCTCAGAGTATTTTGGTTTTGATGTCTAGCCAGAATGCTTTAAGAGGGACTGTTTGTGAGCAGAGACATTTTTCTCATATCATGTTCTACAAGAATTTTGATGTTCCCATTGGGAAGTTTCTACAAGATAATTTACTCACTCAGGTTTCTCCTAACTCTATTTTTAGGGCATTAAATTGTTCATTCTCCTATCACTTAGTATGGTATGTCCTTAATGGGTCAGGTTGAATCGGGATTAATATATTTGTTTTCAGGAATGTTTTGGTGTCACCCCTCTGTTGGTCTTGTTTATTGAATACATCTAATATTTTCAGACATTGAATTATTGACTTTCAGTTCTGTTACATGAAGGGATTTGAAATTTTTTTTTTCCAAACTATTTTTTTTTAAAAATTGCATTTTCTTGAAGTTGGAACTGAATAAAACTTGTGCACTGCAGAGAAGCCAGTGCAATTGTGGTGACCTGCCAGACGCTCATTTCTACTATTACGCACATCATAACAAGCAGCTTACTATTCGAGTTAAACGGCTCCGGGAGAAGAGCGTTTGCCTGGTGAAGCATATGGGAAACTTTGGATGTGGAGTCGATGTGGTAAATGTAAATCCAGGAATGGAGTCTCAAAGTGTACAAAGAGAGTGTTGATTTCCACTGCTGCACGTGGTCTGTCATTTGGAAATTTCCTGGAGCTCTTTTTTTCAAACCCCTCTTTGTCTAATATGTTTTCTAGTTGCGGCCATTCGTTGCAAAGGGACTTTCTCTACTTTTTTGGGTATTTTTCAGCTCTCATCTAGTGGTACTTTTGGCATATATCAGGGTTTGCTTATTCAAGTAGTGTATTTTCTAATCTTCTAATTCATAAAAGGATTTCCATAGGATTACTTAGGATAGTATGCATATGGGAGAAGGTAGGTTTTGCAGCGATCTTGGGCATGGGAAACCATTTCCTAGATTTTGATGCATTTTGACATGGCATTAGAATGATCAATATTTATCCTTTTTTCTTGTTAAGTTTTTTTTTGTCCAAAAATAATGATCATGGGAAAGGATTACACATTATTGTAGCTTGAAGCTATTAGTCTATTTCAGCGTATCTTCTATTTTATCGACTCTGGAAAGAAGAAGCTATACACTTTTTTTTAAAATGTCCTTATTATGCTGTTTTGGGCACTCTGCAGGTTAGGCCCTATGGTTGCTATGTTCAAATATTCCCTGGTCACAACTTATACTGTGTCTGTGCCGCCTCTGAAGCTTCCATTCAGCAATTCAATTAGACAAGGGTGGCTTATGAAAGAAACTCAGAATGTAAGTTTCTTTTCAGATTTTGCTTGCTTCTTTGATTTCCCATGATGCATTGATATTTCTTTTGCCTAGTAGAAGATACATTAGCGTTTGTTGCCTCCCCTTTCCTACATCCTTGCACTGGATGTGACCCTGTTTTTTTCAATCTAGGTGTACATGAAAGTGATGCTATTGTTCACAGAGGTTGCCAACACTCTAAAGAAGATTAGATCTCAATTTGATGGCTTGACTTTGAAACTTCGAGGCTCATTTAAAGAATTCTCTGACATCGAAGACATGCTAAAGCAAGAATGTTCCGAATTTGAGGTCACTTTTCTCTGAACATATTTTTTGGGCGGGTTAATTTATGGCTTGTTTTGCAGAAAGGATTGGTTGGTTGTTTTCACTTGAATGTGAATGCATTTGTTACAATATATTTCCAATACTTGCCAACTTTTTGTAATGCAATGCTTGTTATGAACTAAACCACAATGCCTTTATGATCTGAGAAAAGATTTTATTGCTTCATAATAATTGCCTACTTTGTTTGAGCTCTGCTATTTGGTCTAAATCTTCTCAGTTTGAGGGACTATTTTTTGTTGTAAAGTATAGTTTTGTGTAGTTTGACATTCTTGTTGCAGACTTTTGTTTTCCTTTCCAAATCTTTTGTACTTTTCAGATGCATCAATTTCAATTTGTTTCATTGTTTAAAACTGAATTTTGAAGATTTTTTTCTTTTGAAACATTCAATAATACTGGTAGCAAGGATGGGAACTTAAATGAGACTGTTTAAAAATGTTTAGTGCATATACTTTTCAAATGTTTCTATTTGTCTAGCTTGGCATTCTTCTCCTAGACTTTGATTTTCCTTTCAATGTCCTACTTTTCAGAAGAATGAATTTTTCTTATTAATTGTATTGTATTCAATATTAGGAAATTTGTTTTTATCCTTTTTGAACGAATCATAATTATAAAAACAGGTAAGCATTCAGAATGCTGTTAGGAAGAATGGGAACTCAGACCAGGCCGCCTACAAGCTCCTTAGCTTGAACCGAGTACTTTGGGAACTAATCCTTGAATCATGTGTTTGGGATCGGCGCTTGCATTCGTTACTGTCACCAGATTCGTTGATGATACATTCTGGAGCTTCTGAGAAGGTAGTGCAAGAAAAGGTGAATTCAGATATTGATGGCATTGCTAGTGGTGGAATTGTGGAAAAAGGTGAGAAATGCATTGATGGTGGTGCCAGTTTAAAAGTTAAGTTAGATACGGCTTCAGAAGCAGATGAATCTCCAAGCAAAGACATTCTAGTTGGAGGTCCTGTTCGAGAATCTAAAGGAGCTGATCCATTTTATGTGTCTAATATGGCAGAGGATTTTGAAACACCAAATGTGGGTGGTTCAAGCCGAAAAAGATTGTCTAGCCAGGGGTCCAATCTGAGCACCAATGGCTCCACCAAGGGTCATTCTGAGAATAATCAGCTAGAAGTGGATAGAACTTTTCCGATTTCAACAGAAAATGGGGATTGTAGCTCTATTGTCGATTCAAATCTGTCACTGAAGGGTACTTCTCACCATTCACTGTCATCCAACTTGGAAAATTCAAATGACTGGTTTTGGGTACCTTTCTCTGAAATTCGACAAATAGGCATGAAGGATCTACATAGAGTTTACTTGCCAAAGTTTGAATCACTTAGTAGTTATACTGCAGAGTACTTACCCACAGCACATCAACTGATCAGAGAGGAAGGGCAAATGCTGCACATTCCTCTAGGAACTGATAATCATATTGTGTCAGATTATGAAGGAGAACTGTCCAGTATGATTGCTTGTGCACTGGCGTTATTGAAAGATCTACCTCTTCAAACAGAGGTTCTTGCTGACGGTAGCAAGGGAGAGAGTGGAATTGCTTCTAGAAAATTTGAGAATTTACACAGTTTGACTCGAATTCCCACTATTACTTCCTCACATTGGTCTTCTAATGGTTCTTCAGATTCTGATTCAGTCCATTCTAATGCAAGCATTTCTTTGGATGAGTCACGCTACTCCAGTTTTGATGGGTTGAATTTGTTGGATTCTCTGGTTCCACCAGGAACTGTGAACCCAGTAGTCCCTCTAGGAGGTTCAAAATCACATGGCAAGGATAAATACACTGTAATATGTCCATATGCCAATCAATTTCGTGATCTCAGGAATCGATGCTGCCAATCTGAAGTTGATTATATTGCTTCCCTTAGCCGTTGTAGAAACTGGGATGCTAAAGGTGGGAAGAGCAAATCCTTTTTTGCTAAAACACTGGATGACAGGTTGATTATTAAAGAAATCAAGAAGACAGAATTTGAGTCATTTATAAAGTTTGCTGAGGATTATTTCAAGTACGTAAATGAGTCATTTGACAACGGAAATCAAACTTGCCTTGCAAAAGTTCTTGGGATTTATCAGGTTTGTTGCATTTGAGTATTCCTTGTCATCAATGGGCTTGTTTAATTCTTTATACTCAATTTGTTTAATTTTTTGCAGGTGGTTCTGAAACAGACAAAAAGTGGGAAAGAGATGAGGCATGATCTCATGGTCATGGAAAATCTTACCTTCGGTCGGAACATCATTCGTCAGTATGATCTTAAAGGTGCTCTACATGCTCGATTCAATTCTGCTGCTGATGGTTCAGGAGATGTTCTTTTGGATCAGAACTTTGTCAATGATATGAACTCATCTCCACTGTATGTTAGTAACAACGCAAAGCGTATATTGGAACGGGCTGTGTGGAATGACACAACTTTCCTCAATGTGAGTTTGTACATATTTTCTGCATTATGATTAAAGTTCTGGAAACATGTCTTAGTCAGGCTCAGGCACATACATATAGTTTGTGATTGATCGTTTGAGATTCCTTTATCAACAGAAGGCAAGAGGACATTGCTGATTCTCTAGAAGTGTTATCTTCTGTTCTATGATAACTTTTAATTCTTCTCTTTTTAGTCTTCCATTCTCAGTTTTATTTTATTGTCTGTTCATCAAATTTATGATGAAAAAGGAGTTTATATATATATATATATATATATATATATATATATATATATATTGGCTGCAGTTATGCAGTTATAGTCTAATATCTGCCAAATATCTATGAGCTGATATGTTTTTGTTCTTGTATTTGCAGTCAATCAATGTTATGGATTATTCATTGCTTGTGGGAGTGGATGCTGAACGCCGGGAGCTTGTATGTGGCATTATTGATTATCTTAGACAGTATACTTGGGACAAGCAACTAGAGACATGGGTGAAGTCCTCACTTGTACCAAAGAATGTCTTGCCAACTGTCATCTCTCCAAAAGAGTACAAGAGGAGATTCAGAAAATTCATGTCTAAACACTTCTTGAGCATCCCAGATCATTGGTGCTCACCAGAATTGTCTGACCCTTGTCATCAATGTGCTGTCAGGGACGATTCTTCTGAATCAAAAACTGGAAGGAAAGGCGGGCTAAACAGTTCTTCTTCCTAAGTCCTTTTTACCGGTATCGTCATCTTTTGATTTACAAATGTCAGTGCTGCTTCTTTTGACAGGTTTAAATACTGTAAATAATTCATCATCTCAGTTCTGCCCTGTTATTCTGCAATTTTTAGCAAATTTCTGGGGATAGTTTCAGGCCTATTGGTCACAATGTGCAGCTAGAAGTAAAATTCTTTTGTAGAGCCTATTAAGGAAATATAGAGTTTTGGTGGTCGAAAACTTTCGGAATCAACGAAAAGTTGCCGTTATTGTGGATGGCATTCTTTCTTGTACGTGTAAATGTTGCTCCTGGATGTTTAGTGCTGGAAGTGCACATATGAATACAAGCTATATGAAATCTTATGCAATGCCTAGTCTTTTCAGTTTTATTCTCAGCAATTGACTTTGCAACTCTGCCCACACGTTCAACAATCAATCTTAGCCACTGCGCGCACCTTGAGACGTTGGGCAAACCAGCATCGAACTGAGTTCGCAATCTGAGTTTTCAATCTCGAAATTGTGATAATTTTTCTCATGTTCGAACCCCCAAGACTTGTAGAACCACTTAAAATCGGAAATTAGAAATTGTTACATTCTCAATGTCCAAACCTAGAACTCCGTGATTATGGATATATTTTTGTTGGGTGAGAAAAGGAAATGGAGGAATTGAAAATTACATAGAATTCTAAAATGAGGAAATTTAGATTTCCATCCTTTCAATTTCTGGCTGTTGAAGATTTCAGTGTTTTGATTTATGTATGTTGAATTCTGTAAATGACATTATGGAAATTGTGAAATGTCGCCTATTTTGGTGGAAATTAAACTTAGAAATTTAATGCCCCAATTTCCGTGATTTTTTCTGCATGTTATTTAATAAATTCCGGACTTAAGTTGCTAAACAAGGGAATTGTCAATTTCTCCCATTAAATTTTCGACTTTTAGCTATATTCCGAGTTATTTTCCCTCATACAAAGGGAGGGTAAAAATCCAAACTGTCATTGACAAAGGAAGCCTTCCCACATGAAATGAAATACTAGGACAAAAATAGAATTGCTTGTCCTGCTCACTTGGACAAAGAATCCTCCCTTCACTTGAACAAAGAATCCTCCCTCTTTTTCATTCTAATAAACTTGCTTTCCTCTTCCAAACTTGGCTTGACTCAGCAATTGCCTCCTTGAGAAATAATGGAAAACAACCCCATCATCCAAGACCTGATTGATAGCAGTGAACATGACGATGATGATTACTTGTGCTTCAAAGACGAAGACACTGACCAATCCCAATATTGCATGTATGCTTTGAATGCAATACTAAGTGGCACAGCCCGCCTCAATGTTCTTTTGCCCACAGCCACCATTCTTTCCTTCACCATTTTTGCTCCTCTCCTTACCAATGATGGCTTCTGCACCGCTTTCGACAGCTGGATGATGGGTTTCTTCATTGCTCTTTTATCAGCATCGTGCATCTTCTTTACATTCACCGATAGCTTCAAAACAGCAACTGGCAGGTTGTACTATGGAGTGGCCACGTTTAGAGGCATATGGGCTTTCAATGGTGGCCGGAAGATGCCGTGTGTGCCATCTGATTATAGGCTGAGATGGGCTGATCTCTTCCATGCGTTGCTTTCGTTAATAGCGTTTCTGACATTTGCAGCTTCGCATTATGGCGTTATGGGTTGCTATTATCCAGCAATGCCTAGGAGGCTGACCAACACTCTTCCTCTTCTTGTTGGGTTTGTTGTTAGTGTTTTGTTTGTGTTGTTTCCTTCTAAGAGAAGAGGGATTGGTTACCCTTTCTTGCTGCTTAGCGATGCTTTGTACTCTAGATATTGAGAGGGATGGTGTTTCCTTTGAAGAGAGAGCTGATAATTTTTAGAAAATAAAGAATTTGTTGTGCTATTAATTCATATACAATGGAAATTGCGTCTTTTATTTGCTAGGGAGAGCTGCTTCGCCAAGAATGTACATATTTAACTAAAACTTAGATCACCTCTCTATAAGCAACTCCTAGCTTTATTAATGATGTGGTTCACTCTAAACTAATACCTTTACAGAATTGAAAGATGCAGTGACTATTATGATTAAGTCATGCACAAGAATTGTAAACTTGTAGTTGGTGTTCTACAAGGGCTCTCAAACAAACGTAAGAACTGGCAGCATTCTACCAACTAATCAGCAAAAAAGATAGGCAAAAAAGGAAAGAGAAAGAAGTTGAACAGAGGGAATAAACTTGTATGAATAAATATGGAACCAATGAATACAAATAAAATTTTGTGACAAAAGCTATTACACAAAAAATACAATCATGAATTAGTATAGGACCGTAAAGTCAAGTACAGTGACAGCGTGGTGGAACTGATACACCAGGAGGTTTTCTCCTTTCACGAATGATTGCTTCCTTAATCATGGGCAGCTTCTGGTAAACCTTTTTCCACACGTGGTTCACTGCACCGTCTGGTGGAATTGGCCCGATGCCACCAGGATGACCATTGTCATACTCAAACAGGGGCTGAAACTGAGCCATTTTCCGATGAAATCTATCTCTTTGCTCTTTAGGAAAGGCTCTAAGATGGCTCACAAGCCAGTGTGGTTTCAATGCATCATCAACTGCCACAAAAACTGAAAATTCTGAATAATCTACAATCCCTTCAAAAGGAAGCTCTATGTTGTCACTGACAATAACAGGTATACAAAGACTTTGAATGGCATCAAAAAGCCGGCATGAAGTGGGAGTGTCCCCAGCTGGGTGCAAGCAAAACTTTGATGTTCTCATCCCTTTTATTGACTGCTCCCTCCCAGTAGCGTTAGGGAATCCTTCTTCCATAATAACATCCGGTTCATTAACCAACAAGTCCCACAATTTTTCTCGAACTAAGCCTCCCTGTTATCAGAAAACTCAATTATGTTACAAGGATTATAACATGTAACAAGTTTGGTTTATAAAAAAATAGAGTGATCATGCAATTAGATAAAGCATGTCTAATGATTGTTAAGCTTTACGACAACCCACAAGATGATTAAGATGAGATGTAAAAATTTATTAGGGCATACAGAAAGCATGTCAGGTGGAACTTCAAGGGTCTGATACAGACAAGACAATATATAACAAGCTATTTTTTAGATAAATTGCAGCTAAACCGTGTTAGTTCACTGACGAACTGAGGAAGAAAGTACCATTCACAAATTGATGAGTTACAGTCAAAAAACAAAGTCAATGAAAATTATTTCACAGTATCTCAGATGCAAAAGTAGATTGCACTGCCAGTCAACAAATAAGATTCTAATCTTGCATACTGACCCGATGCCTATGTTTAGCTCCTTTGAAATAAAGTAGAGTCTGCCGCTTCTTGTTTTCTGTCAGTTGCAATCTAGGAAGTAGATGGGTGTAGGGCACAATGACATCTTTGAGCAGTGAAACTTGTGTGTGCTGAATCACATCTGACGAGCTGCCATTCGATGACTTGGATTCGAGCCTGTACCACCCTCCAAAATCTACAACTAGGAGGACCGCCGGGGCTATCTCTGCTCTAACGTGCCACATTGCCACTGGGTCTGCCAAAAATGCTTCAAGTTACACAACCTGACAACCCAGAGACTAAATCATAAGCTGCTATAGCATATACTATACTTCTTTTTAACATTTAATTGCTCCATCTTCTCCTCTGGGAATAGGGAAAGCGAAATATCGCTGTAACATGATAGCAACAAATATATGAACACAATACATCATATGGTATAACAAGTCATAACCAGTCATTTACCATTTACATTAGCATTTTAATCTTACTCCGAGTTACCTAAAACTGATCAAATGACAGCCAACAAGATAAGTTATGAAAAAAATTAAGCCCATCCCTACAACTTAAAAAAATCAAACTTTCTAAATTCCAAGGGTGGAATGGATCATGCAGATATATTCATTGCAAACACTAGAACAAAGTTACTGCAAAATGATTTACATCTACAAAAAAGAAACATGCATCCCACATTAACAATCACATCAAAACCAATACCTGATCATTAAATCCAACAAACAATCCCAGAAATTACTCAATACCCATTAACACAATCCTATATCAAATCCCAACCAAAAACCAAAATAATTTTTTAACACCAACATACCAGTGAGCACAAACACATGGTCTCTTCCACCTGATCTTTTCCAAGCCTCGGTGTTCTTCACAAAGTCAACTACTTGCCTCTGCCTCTCATAGTCCCCATTCCCAGCCTTCTTCCTGAACGCTCCTTTAGCCGTAGCCAGCTGCAATTCAGCGCTCAAAGTCGCAAAAAAGGGCACGAAAACGACGTCTGCTTCGGCAGCACTGAAAACCCTCTGGGCAAACGACCCAGTTCTCTGAGCCTGAGGGGTCATCAGGTCCCCCAAAATCCAGTACTCGGCACTGTATTGTTTGATCAATGGATTCTCAGGATATGGCGGAAATTCAAGGCTTTTGGGCAATTGGGTCTTCGGGATTTCGTGGTCCGCATCGCTACCCAGCCGGGAATCGGGCCCGGACGCCCAGTACTTGTCGAGGAGGCCATAGTTGAGGAATCTGGGGAGGTCTGCGACGAAGACTTGGATAGAATTTTGGGGAGAGTGAAAGGCGTTTTGGTAAATCGAGGATGAGGAAGAAAGAGAAGAAAGAGGATTGAAGAGGAAGAAGAGAGAAAAAGAGAGAGTGCAGAGGAGAGTGAAGGCGAAGAAGAGAGTAGGAACAGAGCACAGTGAAGAGGTTGAAGATGAAGCTGTGGCTGTAGCGGTGCTCTTCAGTGCCATGCCTTCGTTTCCTCTGCTGCGAAAATGGCCGACTGGTTTGGTTGCTTTTGAAGTTGGGAACTAAATGTACATGGAGCAAAGGGTAGTTTGGTAAAACCGATTTTATTTTGTTCATTGTATTAGTTTTCTATTTAATTATCAGTTTTAATTTTTTATGTGCGCATATCCACCAAAGCACAGCTTCATAACCACTAATTACATGATTTGTAGGGACCGACGAATATTTTATTATTATTATTATCACACTGTTTCGAAGCTTCTTCTCTGTCTGAAAGCTACCCCGTCGGTGGTCACGAACGCTATACAGTACAGTATACCATTAAAGGTGTATTTATTTATTGATATTATAATTATATGTTTTTAGAGTATCGTGGGGAGAAATTTGTAGTTCAAGTGATGAAGAAGAATTATTGTTTTGAATGCATACTTCTCCAATATTTCTTGTATAAAAAGAAAGTAACATTATTATACCATATTGCATCTCCAACAGAGGTAAGAGTCCCCAATACTAACCAGTAGGTCTTATATTAGTGGCGCAACGAAAGAGAGAAGAATATAAAAAATAAATGGGTGGATACATTGGGAACACATGTACACGTGTCTAGCAAGTATCGTGAGAATCGTTTTAGAGCGATTGTGAATAGCATTCCTCTTCTCCTTTTTGTCTTTTCATTCGTTCTTTTTTCTTTTTTGTCCGTTCTTTCTCACTTTTTGGGTGAATATGGACATAATTGTTTCATTCTTTCTCTCTTCTGTTTCATTTTTTCATTCTCACTCTCATACTTTTCTCTCACAATTGTTTCATTATCTTTTCTTTTTTCTTGTTTCCTTCTCTTGCTTTTTCCCAATTTTTCTTTCTGTTTTTTTTTCCCCGTCATTTTTCTCTGTTCGAAACAAATTGTCATTGTTTGTTTGATACCTATGTTTTCTTTATAATTGACATGCTCCAATAAGAAAAAATACTTCAAGCAAATAATACCTTATTATTAAGAAAAAGTTTAAAGAACTCATGAAATATAAAAGTTCTATAAATTACTTGTCCTTGCATCTCTTGGTTCAAATTCATCTTTGTAAGAAAAATTATATATATAAAAAATCTAAAAGATTCACATGTCCTCGTGTTTATTCGCATAGTCTAGACTCAAGTGCAAGATGTCCCATATTCATGACTGTAGTATGCAGCCCATATTTGTACTTCCAAGTAATTTTTAGCTTGCTAGAGTTAAAATAAATATCAGAATGTGTTACTTCAATTTTCCTGTCAATAAATTAACACACATATATACATCAATATTACCTATGAAGAAAGAACTCTCCTATGTATCAAATAAATTTGAATTTGCATCGTCACATCAACATATCTCTTGAAGAATGCATGGCAACTTTCTACTCGTTGGCTACTTGTCATTCCGGCTGAAAAAACATGATTCACATATGCAGGAACCCAACTTGAACGAATTTCATACAATGGCCGTAACTAGTCATTATCTTATGACTCACTTTTTTCCACAATCTTCATCCACTTTGAGACAAACTCTTCAGTGCTTTCTGATTCGCATATGCATTTTCTAAAATCTTCAAAATAATCTCTATATTTGACCCCACCTAATCTTTCTAAGAATTTATCTAATATGTGCCAACTGCAATATTGGAAAAGCTTGTACAATGGCTTTTGTCATTGTTGGATCTTGATCAGTAATAATCATTTTAGGGGAACCTCCAAGTGTGGCTTTCTTAAAGTGCTCAAATAGCCAAAGAAAAGAATCAGTTGTCTCATCACTTAGGAATGAACAAGCAAACACTATTGTTTGACCATGATTATTGACCCTTACAAATGGTGCAAATATCATACCATACCGAGTAGTGTTATAAGTACTATCAAACACAACCACATTGCCAAAAAATGTGTATGCCTTCCTAGATTTTGTGTTAGCTCGAAAACAATGAGTAATTCTATCTTCTTCATCATGCCTCAATCTTAAAAGTGAAGGACAGATTCTTTTCATGCTCTAGCTGGAAGTGCTCATACAACATATCTACATCATGTCCATTCAACCAATTACGTAAATTCCTTTCATTATTGTAAATATCCTTCTCTAGACATCCAACATTTTCTATCCCCCTGTGGGGGACTTTTTCTTCCGACAGCTGTAAGTGGGTTGGGCTACCGTAAATGGTAGACTAATGGAATTGTCCCCTTTGTCTGAGTTTGAAAATTAAGCCCCGAAAACACTTCGAAATGACAGCAGAGCCTTAGGAAGTATTTTGGTTACCTTCACCAACCAAAATAATAGCAGCTTATAGGTAATTTCTTCATGCTTACAGATAAACTCTTAAGCTCAGCGTGAGTGGCATGTGACATGGAAGCAAAATCAACATGAGTTTAGCACTAAGAGAAAATTTAGGCTTGTTTTGAGGGAAAAGGAAGTGTTAGGGTAAGAAATGAGAAGTTTTGTGAGAGATTTGGCAAAGAAAGAGGAAATAGAGAACAACGTTCTTCTGGCAGCTCAACAGACGCTCTGTCTGCCAGAAGAGAAGAATGGAGAAGAAAGGTGAATAGTGCACGAGGTTGCTGGGTTTTTGCAAGTTAGAGAGAAAGCTTGCTCTCCGAATCTGAGTTCCATTTGTTAGGTAGGAGATGCTTCATTTTATAGCCGCTGGAAACCATCACTTCCCAAGAAACCCTAATGGTTTCTTTCCAACTTTGCCAAGCTTTCCCTTCCTTTCTCCTCCTCTTCCTTGACTTTCCTATCTTAGTAAAAATTGCCTCTATCTATTTGCACGAAATTAGGAATTTTGGGAGCTCAATGCCCCATTTCCTGCTACTATTTAGTGGGAAGCTCCATTCTTGGCTACTTTTCTTCTTCTTTCCTTCCTCATTCTTTGGCCAGATTTGATGAAGGAAAGAAAGTGAATATACATGCTGGTTCAAAGGGTGCTTCTGACAGCTTGCAGACTAATATTCCTTGGTTCTTTGAACGTTTCTGGCTTGGAACTTGCTCCCCCATGTGTTGAAACCTCCAGCAGCTCTGTTCAATGATCCTGCAGACCTTCTCTATGTGGCTTCTATTTTTTCAGCAAAGGGCTGAGGCTTTTGTGGCTTATTTTGGAGTTTTGTATGGGCCAAGGTGGTTCCTTAAGCAAGTGGGCTATTTTTGTTAAACATTGGGCTTTTTGGTTGAGGCAATGCCATTTGAGGCTATTTGGGCTATTTGGGCTATTTCTTTTCTCTCTTGTGCTCACCCACATGTTTGGGCCTAAGAAATGGGTTTGAGTCCCCAGGCTCCCAAGCAACCCGAGACTTTCCATTTCTCGGCACATCAATGGGCCTCATGTTGATTCATTACCGTCCATACCACAACCCACTCAAGCAAGCCTCAGGCATTCGAGTGGCTTAGGCCCACTTAGGCTTGTAGCGTGGTTGGGTGTGTAATAATGATTTCTTGCTTGACATGACATGTCGCTTGGCATGGCATATCGCTTGGCATGCTTTTAATTATTATGCTTGACAGGATAATTAGCATGGATTTGCAAAGATAATGCATTTTATAATCTTAATCTCGATTCCTAGCGCGACGGATTATTTATTTGGCATGGCGCATGGAGTGTGACTCGTGCATGGCGGACTTTTGTGTGTTCCAAGTCGGGTTTTTTCTCAATAAGGTATTGCGCTGGACTGAGAATTCATTTGGGCCAAGCCGTGGATTTTTTGGGCCTCAACACCCCCCAACTTGCATTTCAAGAAGGCTAAATTGTTGATGTGTAGGCATATTTGCTGCTGAAAATAGTTGGGTTATACATTATGAGAATTTGAAACTGTACGATGAGACCATAACAAGTGTACTCTTTTAGGACTTGTTAATGGGTGGTTGTGACCCTCCAAAAATAGGCTGACTACATAGGTTCCCAATTTCAACTTCACCACAACAAGCTTTGCCTTACAACCCTCTCAAGTAATACCTCTACGCCTTTTTTTCTAACCAACTCCTTTAGCGGGCACTCCTTCTTTAGAACACACACTCCATTTATAGGATTTCATTAGTTTCTTTACTCTTCCTACTAGCTTCCTTGGCATAATTATTGTAGAACTCATGAGCATCATCTAATGACTCAAATCCTTGGCTTGATTTTGGCTTGTGATCTCTTAGTTGCGGCATGTATATTTTTGTCACACGAATCTGAATTTAATCTATATTGCCTAGCCCCTTCAGAATGGCCATCTAATTCTAGGGCCATGTAATCCATCTTCATGAAATGATTACAATCAAAACAATAAAAGAAAATCATAAAAATCAGAGAATAATATTTCTAAAAGAAGAAGCAAAGAAAAAAAACTCCTAGAAAAAAAAACTAAGAAAATAAATGAACAATTGCCTGCCTATATAATGAAAAACTTTGGTCAAGAAATCATGATAGGCAATATGGAATAGCAAGCACAATTAAGATATTTTTTGGTTTGAAATGAAAACAAGATATTAAATATTATAACACGAGTAAAAAAATAACTAAAATAAATTGAAATAGTACTTACTTGAACTTGGAAGGATGAGTTGAGTTGTACGGTTATGGTCTGATGTGATGCGGATGTTAATATCAGAAAGATATAGAGAAGATTGAGGTGTTGAACAATTAATTAAAGTAAACCTCTTGGGCTGCCCTAAGCTGCCAGCCTTTTCAGTTTAATAAAATATTAAATTAATTCAATAATCAATAAAGTTGAGGCTACCACTTGCGTGTGAAAAAAAACACCAAAAGTTGTTGCGCATGACTTTAAGTTTTATCAATTAATACATATCAAAGCTGCAATATCATTGGATTGATCTGACGTTTCACCTTTAGTGTCAACATTTTAATTAAAATCAAGTCATCCTAATGTGAGCAAAACTGTATATATAGTTAGTTAGTTAGTATCGTGCGAATGCTATTGTAAACAGGCATGAAGGCAGGGAGGGGCATCTGCAAGATAATAACATCCAGATATCCGCATAGGAGAATTTTTG